CTGTCATGGATAGATTTTGGCATGATGGCACTCAAGCAAATTTTCCTCAAGTAAAATGGAAGGATCCTTCCTCTAGAGTATAGAAGATTCTCAAACCTGTTTTGATATGGGGTCAAAGGCATGTTTGTGCTTTTTCACAGAAGAAAATGAAGCTCGACAGCTGCCTAAGAATTTGGTGTGGTGTGTGGAACATAGGAGTGATGGTGCTGCCCTGATGATATTGTGGCTGCTGCTGCCCCCTAGAGGAGTTGGAGTAAGATCTGCTGAACCTATGTTCCTTATCCACAGATATTGCATCCTGCATTTAGAGAAGAGGAGGAGATTATAGTGATGGTTAATGATTCCTGGCTTCCTTGCTATACCTGAAGCATCAATTTCCCAGAACTCTGTGAGTTTTAATTATTCTGGATTTGGATGAGGAATGCCTACTGAGCATTTATCCACAGTGTTTCATGGGATGCAGAAGTCATCTTTGCCAATATAGTGTTCATCTGCTGTTGAGATAGAAGGCCTGGAGAACAGGTACCCTCTGTGATAAAGAGATTTGTTGGAGCAATCAAACACTATTATGGAGGTGTTGTGTGGCTAAAATTTCTCTTCTGTAAATGAGGAAGAGTGGGAGGTTTCTCCTGCTGGCATTTGGATCTCAAGGACAGGAACCACTCAAACATATCTTTGGAAGTTGGCAGCAGTGATGCATTGGACTTTAGGAGAGGTAAAAAGAAAGGTTCAGAATTATGAAGTTCTTCATACCTCACCCACCAAAAAATCATTTTTTGCTTCCTGATTGGGTCAAATTTATGTAAATTGTAGTTTAACCCATTGTATGTCCATTGTTAATATTCACACTAGAATTACGGTATTGCCCTGATGTGGGATTTCCCTCTGGATGCTGTGAATACCATTGGTTAAAAAGGAGCTGCTTTGGGCCTATTGTAGGGCAAAGTAGGGCAAGATGGGAGTTCCAAGCAGATAGAGGATGGGAGAGTAGGAGGAGTCAATGAGATGTCATGCAGCCACTGCAGGAGACAGATGAAGGACACTGGACTGAAACTTGCCAGTAGACCACAACCACATGGTGATACACAGATTAATAGAAATGGGTTAATTTAAGATATAAGAGGCCTGATGATGGTGGAACATGCCTTTAATCCAAGCACTTGGGAGGCAGAAGCAGGTAGATCTCTGTGAGTTTGAAGCCTCCTCGTCTACAAGAGCTAGTTCCAGAACAGGCTTCAAAGGTACAGAGAAATCCTGTCATGAAAAAACAAATGTTTTAAAATATAAGTGCTTGCTAGGAATATGATTAAGATAATAGGACAAACAATGTTTGAATTAATGAATTTTCTGTGTTCTTAGTTCTGATCTATCTGGCCAGGAAACTAACGAGCAGCCTCTGTCTACACTGACAAGTTAATGAATGTTTGTAACCTCTTCTGGTCACTATGAAAGTGTTACTGGATGGAAAATGGATAGAGCTCATCTGAGAGGAATTTGGCATGATGCTAATGAGTCCTTATAGTTGATGAAATTAATAAGGCAAAATTGAATTTTGATGTGCTAAAATGGCTAAAGATATAAAGGAACAATTTTAAAAAGGTCACGCCCATCATAGTCAATCTTTACTCCTTTATTAGAAAGTATTGTAGCCATAGGAGCATGTGTATTGTTAGACATCATTTGCTTGCCTATGATTATCAAGTTACTTGGGAACTCTCTGTGGAAAGTTGGCTAAGGGGTGCATGACATCAAGCTACACGCTCTGCCTTAACCCTTTATAATCAGATGCTGATAGTCAAAGATGGACAAGATCTTTTTGCTTTCAGTTAATCTAAGCCTGGGTACACATGTTGGAATGTGTGTATTGATGACATACCTAAGGACAACCTAAGACAGGCACAGTCACCTGTCCTGTGGCAGAAGGGCAGGATTCAAAAATAAATTGAAAAGCAGGAAATCTGTGGGAGCCCACAGTGACTCTATTTCCATCTTGACTGAAACCCAGAGAGTTCAAGTTTGTCAAGGCCAAATAACAGGATGTTTGAATTGGTCATTACTAGATGTTTTGAGTATTGAGGAGGTAATTATGCTTGCGTTTTTTTCGTATCATTAGTAAGGAAGCCTTTTGCCCTCCCCTTCGGCTTTGGGTATATAAGAACTATAAGAAATAAACTTGAGGCTGTTACTGCATTCACTGGAAGCCCTCCAGATACTATCTTCCGTCTTTTGTCTCTTTTGTTCTCAATCCTCACTCCCATTTTCAGGCATGTTCAAACAGGGTTGCTGGTCCTGACAAGCCTGCAATGAGATAATCCCAGATTTGCCCAGAGGTCTGGGAGAAGAAATGGAAAGCCATCTGGTGATTCAGTGACTACATTGGATGCAGATTCCACATATATCTCCAGTGTGTGTTTGTGGTTGAAAAGTCACTGGCAAATAGATTTTTCATGAATTTGTGACCCAAAACTTGGACACAAGATGAAGCACAAATCTAATTAAACTTATCAATAAAAACTAGTAGTCAGATATCAGGGTAAAAACCTGAAAACTCAGAGAAGTAAGGGAGCCGCCATCAGTGACTTCCTACCTCTTCTGTTCCTGGACAAACGGGCTGAGATCTTAACTCTGCTCAGCCTTATCACTTCCTATTTTCTCCTTTTACAGACCTCCAGACCTCTATGGTTAAGCAGTGGCTATCTCCACCCTCAACCTTGAAGCAAACCAGCTTCGCAGGTCCTGCAACTGTCACTAACCCTCCCATTTATCTATAACCTTATCCACCAGCCCAAATTGCCCCTCCCCCCCGTGGGTTAGCACAAATGTCTGTAGAATGGTCACAGTTATAGGTCCCTGTATCACTGTCAAATCACCTTACTGTTCTGCTTTCCTACCCATTCCAAGGAAAGTAACTCTTGGAAGCCTTGGTACCCTGCCAAAAACAGCTACAACCCATGAACGTGATAACGTTTTCTGATTTTGTGATGCCCATCTCAGTCTGAGAGATCAGGTCCATGTTCTTAATCTGGTTCCCCATCCCCATCCTTGATCCCATCAATGCTACCACCAATCCCCGAATTCTTTCCTTTCCTAAATGTGACATAGTTCTACTTCTATTCACATTGGATCACTAAAATAGAGTGTGTTTATTTGGAGCCTCTGTTCTGAACTCTAGCCACTCAGTGCCTTCTCAGAGTTCTCTAGAACAGCTCAGATTCAACACAGGCTCAAACCTACTTCTTTTTTTCTTCTTTTTTTATGCTGCTGTTTACTTGCTTGGTTTTTTGAGGCAGAGTTTCAGTGCATAATGCTGGCTCTGGAACTTGATCTGTAGAACAAGCTAGTCTCAAACTCAGAGGTCCACCTGTCTTGGTCTTCTGAATGCTGGGATTAAAAGGTGTGCACCACCATCATCTGGCCCAAAATTACTTAGCATTCATTTTTAAAATCCTGTACAACTGACCTTTCAATGTCAGCTGATAGCATTTCCTTCCTTCCATTGACTCATGACTCTCCTTTGGTTTGTAGGTATAAAAGGCTGGAGATGGCTCAGAAGTTAAGAGATTGGCTGCTCTTTCTGGGGCTCCAGTTTGATTCCCAGCACCCACAAGGCTGCTCACAACCATCTATAACTTCAATGTCCTGGGGCACTGAACGTCATATGCAGAGATATACATGCAAGCTAAACACCCACTATTATATACAATATAGTCTTTTCAATTCACAGTGTCACCAGCGGTCTCAGAATCAAAGTTGCTCAGTTCATCTGCTCCATTTCCCATCACTCCCGATGTGCATCTCCAAGTGTCTCAACATATGGGTCTCACTATAGAGAAGACTTCTTGGAACTTCCTTCACTGGGTGACAGAAAAAGAGACATCCCCAGCGCCCAGCCAGGCTGTGGGGATGTCAGTAAACTGCTGATGTCAAACCTTAGGAACCTCAAGACCCAAAGTGCGGCCACTTCAGAGCAACAAGTGCATGTTAGGTAGGAGGCTGCTCACTCAAGGACAGGAATGGTCTCGTGGTTAGGTACTGACTGACTATGTTTTCCTTTGTTCTGCCATTGTATATAAGCAAGTTCTAAAATAAACTCTGGGCTCTTTGGCTGTTTCAGCATAACCAAACAGATCGGATTCTATCCTGTGTTTTCTGTGTGTTTCTTTTATCTTGCATTTTCTTATTCTTAACATAATCCTAATCCAGGAACCCTAACTGGCTTTGTGGGAGCAGGTTCCTACAGATGACCTTGGAGTTAATAGTATTCCCTTATTTCTATTCAAATACTTGTGAACTCATCTCTTATAAAGTCAGTTGTGGAGCTGATGAGATGGCTCAAGAGGTAAAGGCACTTGCTCCCTACCCTGGAAACCTGAGTTCAATCCCCAGGAGCTGCATGGTAGGAGAGCACCTTTGATGTCTATACATACATAGATACATACATGGAAAAACACACACACACACACACACACACACACACACAGAAACACACAGAGAAAAGTAGCAACAAAGGAAGTCATAGCCCAGAAGCCTGAGGCAGGTACCCACATCCCATCTGTGGGCAGATTTTATAGATGGGGCCCAGAGGCCCAGAGGAGCACTGTGACATGTGTATACTACACAATTGGTCCATGTCCCCAGCAGAGTACAGAAAAAACAGATTTTATTGTATGGAAACTGTGTGATCCTCAGCAGACACTCAGACTTCTGGCCCTTCACTGTTCCATGTTCCTGGGGAGTTCATTTGGGGCTGTCATGTATGTGACCTATGGACCATGGACTATGAAAGTGACAGACACTCTGGTTGTGGTGACTGTGGTCTCCTAGCATCATCCCCTGATGCATTCTGCAGGGGATTTTGGCAGTGTTGCAATTAGTAGTGACAGTTCAAATTCCCACTGGTTGTCCCTGCCATGTCCCAAACCATTCAATGCCCAAACTCAAATCCAAACAGTCCAGACTCCCCTGTGAATTGCAAGGTTTTTATTGTTGGAACCCTGTTTGTAGACACCTGGAGGGTAGGGGTAGGGCTTGCCGCATCTATGCAGGGGAGCAGGCAAGTGGCTTCTTTGAGTCTCTGGCAAAGATGAAATCATCAACAGAATTTGTTAGCTTCTATTTTATCCTGCAAAGAGAAAGGCGGCAGAGCCTCAGAGGTGAAGGAGATCTCAAAAATCAAACATGGGCTACAACTTGGGAGGGATCTGCACTCTGTCTGCAATAGCTCCTGGGTCTGACTTGGACCTGGAAGTCTCCTTTTCATTCTGTCTCCAATACACCACATCAGGGCAAACCTCGTAAACAGCCTCCAATCCAGCCTGATGGGAAGAGCCACCTGCCCTCGGCACACCATGGGCACATGTGGGGCAGAATGGAGAAGCAGCTGGGGAGGGCCTGGCAGGACTCCAGGTTGAGCCTGTGGGAAACTGTGGTCTCTCAGTGAACTGATTCCGGTCACATGATGACCTCAGAGGCATGCAATGGGGTGGTTACAATCCCACCAGTTCTAGGGACAAAATGGGATTCAATTAGATTCTGTACTTGAGCAACCCAGGCCTGGATTACACAGTGACTTCAAGATACAGGGTACAAGAAAAAAGATGAGTGTGTGGGGCTGCGGTGGCAGACTTTAAAAGTTAGAATAAAAGATCCGGGCTGAAGAAGGGGTGCCAGGTGCTGATGTAGCTGGACTCAGGAGGCTGGGCCAGAAAGCCTGATGGTGGCAAGCAGTATTGTGGGGGCAGGGGTCCTGGGGGGTGTTGTCTGGCTTGACTGAGCTGATCAGCCAGTGTCCTTCCTGTCCCTTCCTCCTGACATCTTTCTGGGTTCCCAGAGAAGTTGCAGTGCTGGGAGGGAATGCATGCACGCTCCATCCCTAAGTTGGTGTGAGCAGGTGGCACACAGGCTCCGATGCAGACACACAGAGAACTCACCACCAAACTCTGCAAATTCGCCTTGTCTTCCGCTGTCATCTTGTTATCAACACATATCTTCAGATTTTTAGCTTTTTCCAAAGTGGCAGAGTTATTCTTGTACTGGCTCACGAAATTCACATAGTCAGTCACAGATGGGCCAAGGAAAAGACCAATCTTCTCATTTATAACAGGGCAAATGCCACAATCTAGAACACAGACAAAGATGATCCACCCTTGAAAGCTTCGCATCAGAACACAGATATCCTTTCTGGGGAGTGAGGGTGTTAAATCCCTGAAGACCCAGCATCCCTGACACCCACACCATAGTACCCACTTCCCCCTGAGGTCACCCACATTCTAGTACTCACTTCCTCCTGAAGTCAGGAGCAGGGCAGCCCCAAGCAACACAAGAGCACCAGTGAGCTTCATGGTAATGGCGGCAGGTGCTCCTACCCAGTTTGGGCCCCTTTTATAACTGCCCTGTGCTGCTCAGGGTGCAGGAAATAAATGGGTCTGAGCCCTCCAGGCCCCTCCCAGAACCCTGCTTGAAACTCCCCGGGGCTGTGCCAGGGGGAAATGTGTGTTTTGGCAAGACAGTTAGATCCTGGTCAACAATGGGCCCTGGCTCAGCCTGGTCCCTTCTTAGTGCTCTGCTTAAGGTCACATGTCATGTGAAGACCCAGGAAGTGATGAGTAGAGAGAAGGAAAGGGTCCCTCCATCAGGCCTCCAGAGTGAGGTCTCTGTCTCCCTGTCACACCAGGGAACTCACCGTTTATTAAAAGCTACCAGTGTCTAGGTCAGACCAGGTAGGGACTCCTGCTCTGACTGTTTCTGTCCCTGCCCCCATCTTTCACTTGCTTCACTGCTCCATTGAAGCCGACTCTCACCCTGGGGTCCTCCTGTTGTCACGGTCATCCTGCAACTCCATCTTTCTGTTGTTGTTGTTGTTTTTTTTTTGTTTTGTTTTGTTTTGATATAGGGTCTCTAGACGCAGGCCTTGCTTTCCTGTAACTCACAGAGATCTGCCTGCCTCTGTTTCCTGAGTACTGGGATTAAAGGCGTGTGCCACCACTGCGTGGATAATATGTGAGTTTTTGTGGTGTGTGGTATTGTATGTGGTATATTTGTGTGGTGTCTGTATGGTGCTTATTTGTGGTGTGTCTGTGTGTGGTATGTGTGTTTGGTGCTTGTATGTGTGTTTGGTATGTAGTATGTATCTAGTATGTGTGTCTGCTCTCTTTGTATAATATGTGTGTGGTATGTGTGTGTGTGTGTGACAAATTCAACTTTCCCTGTGATTGGTGGTAAACACTGTTAAAATCCATTGATAACTGCCTGGTATGGTGTCAAACACTTTTAATTTTAGCACTTAGGAGACAGAGGCAGGTGGACCATGGTGAGTTTGACGTCAGCTGGTCCACACAGGAGGAAGTTCCAGGCCAGCCAGATATACAGGTTCATACTACAAGTGCCTCCCTCATGTTCATTTTCTCAAAACTAAGTAAAGATTCTTCATTTGAAGCAATCTGACCCCCTAATTGGTCACTGCCTGACTGTCTTGCTGCTCCAGTTGCTTTGACTTTCCACCAAGAACCCAGCATGATGGCCTTGACGGCAGCACCAGCCACTTTGAATACTCCACAGATTCTCTGGGAAACTAGAGGGAAATCTCAGGTGGTTCTTCCAGATTCTGAAGACTCAGCCGTGGTCCAGCAGATTCAGAGTATCTAGCAGAGTTAGGGTATCGGAATTCTAGATGACCCTTCAACCATTTAATTTCGCTCAGACAGGAAGCACCCCCCGATACCCAGTGGCCCAACAGAGGGGGCTGCTAAGAGGCAGGCTGTGGTAGGCTCCAGTGCCCCTCTGCCCTATGGAGGGGGGCTTCTTAGGCCCCCTCCATTCACAGCACAGGGAGACGTGGTCACACTCTCTCCCCTGGGACTGACATTGTAGGCCTCATGAGAGGATTCTGCCTTTTGCCTGCCCTATTTCAGGAGTGTGGGCTGAAGGGACAATGATGGAAAAGGAGGCAGTGGAGCAAAGGCTGAGGCAGGGGAATGACAGTTGAGGAGTCAGCAGGCAGGCACCTTGATGTGTGCTGGCTGAAGCATTGGGCAGGGACAGGGCAGGAAAAGGAAGGGGCACAGTAAGAGAGGCAGAGCAGAGTCTGAGGAAGGATCAAAGGGGACAGATCCAGAGGACAGAAACTTCAGGACCTGTTTGACAAAGAGGTTCAGGGAGCTGTGGTGTCTGTAGACACAAGAGCCTCGCCAGGGCCAAGAGCCACAGCACTGCTGAGTGTCAAGGAGGTCTGACTTTCTACCCATGAGTCTCTGGGTCCTATGCTGGTGTGAGGCCTGTTCACTAGAGGGTTCCTCCTGCTGCTGCTCCCATCTGCCAGCTGCTTCTGCTCCTGCTGGGACACATGGAGGGCAATGAAAGCTGCCCAATCCAGCAGCTGGAGAGTGCCCCTTCCTGCACCCATTTCTACCTTTGTGAGCAGAGGGATCCCAGACAGAAAACTGGGGCACACCTGCCTCAGCCTCCCACAAGCAAACGGGGATTCCATGTGGGAAGCCCCAGTCTTCCCCTCATTTCTCTGGACTCTGCCAGTCCCCTGACCACTCTGTGCCTGGAAACCAGAACTCCATTACCCTGGCCTGTTTGTCATCCGAAGCATCTCTGTACCAGGTACGGAACCATGTGTCCATAAGCATGACCCCAGGGAGAACCCGGACGTCCACATGCTCTGCCCTCATGTCTGATGTGCTCGCCCTTCACCTGGCTGGGAGATTCGATGCTTCATTCCCCAGACTGCATCCAAAACCACCAAATCAGAGGGACAGCCTCCTATGGCGTCCACATGGCTAGGCAACACCAAACACCACCTTGCGCCCTGGTCGCAGTGTGGCAGGTGAGAGGCAGTGCATGGTGTGTGGCTGTAATGCATGTGCAGCCTCTGCTCTCCTACTGTCTTCTGACAGCCCCACCTCCCCCACCCCTCACGCTGCCCTTCTGCTCTGCACCAGGAGCTCAAACAGGGCAAGGCAGTGGGTGGATGTGGCTGCTCTGTCTTGGACTTTCAAGACTCCAGACCATGAGCCAAGTTAACGTCTCTCTCATATAAATTATCTAGTAGTGGGATTTTGTCATAGCCATGGAACACAGATTACACCTTAGTATAGTGGACCCCTTGTATATAAGAATAAATCTGTGTTTCGTCACAGCACTGAGCTCTAAACCCTGTGCTGTTTCCCTAGCTCCTCATGCATTAGCTGATTTTGGTGTCTCTTAGATGTCTAAGGGCACAGGAGAGCAAGGCATGTGCCACTCTATCCCAGGGACACAGCACAGCACATAGGAGGTCTCCGCAGGTGTTGGGTAGAGGGGCTAAAGGGCTAGCTCGTGTCTCTCTAGTCTGTAAACAAGACCTTTCTTAAGTCTTGAAACAAAAGGTATCTTCCCATATAGCCTAGGCAGACCTCCAACTGTGAATCCTCTGTTCCCACCTCCTTGTTCACATTAAATAAGTGCTTATGTCATTTGGCTGGTATTAACTTTCAAAAGTAAAGGTTATAAGTGTTTTGATAATTCAGAACTAAGTAGTTTGTTGTCAAAGTCACTCGGCTGTCACTTTCTCTCCATAAGCAGTGACAGATGATGTTGCCAAAGACCTAGAGAGCACTGAGCCTTCTGACTTCCTGGTTCGTCGATCCAAACAGGATTTGCATCTAGTAACCATTTTGGCAAAAAAGGTGCCAAACACTATTTGCTTGTGGGTTATCCATTATGTCCTCTAGCCCTTGTTTGGATGACCTTGCAGGTCCTGAGTGCTGCTGATGCCTGCACAATATGTCTGCCCAGCTGAGGCCTTCTCACTCTTGGAAGTATTAGGAATGGAGACGAGGGCGGACTGTGGCTAAGGTGTGTCTGCTGCTGTCTGACACCTGTAGCCCTTTGCTACCTGTCAGAGCTGGCATCAGGCTTTCTGTAGATGTCACAGAGGTTAAGACCCTTGACCCCACATGTCAGAGGACACAAGACATGTACACATTTCCCCAGTGATTGGAACATCTCACTACAACCATTAATATTCTGTTACCAAATATCTCTACTGTTTTCCCATCTTCCCATATTTTCCTGTTTGTGTATGTGTGCAGAGGCACACATATGTTCATTTATATGTGTGGTTACATGGCATGCTGGCTAGTCTTATGTCAACTTGACAGAAGCTAAAGTCATCAGCAAGAAGTTAATCTTAATTCTAGAACATGCATCTGACTGGCAGTACTGGCGCACGCCTTTAATGCCAGTGTTTGGGAAGCAGAGGCAGGCAGATCTCTGAGTTCAAGGCCAGCCTGGTCTACATAGAGTTTCAGGACTGCCAGGCCTACATAGTAAAAACATGTCTTGATCATCCGCAACAACAACAACAACAAAAAAAAACCAAAAAAAAAAATAACCAAAAGAAAAACAAATGCTCACTAATTTTGGATTACAGGAATGCAGGTAAGGCATCCATTGTCATTCCTCAACCCCACCCCAAGACAGGGTTTCTCTGTTCAGCCCTTGCTGTCTTGGAACTCACTTTGTAGAAAGGCTTGGCCTTGAAATTATAGATCCATTGGTCTCTGCTTCCCACGTGCTGGAATTAAAGGCTTGTATCACCAGCTCCTGAGCAGGCATTTTCTTAATTAGTGATCAGTGGGGGATGGTCAGCCAATTGTGAGTGGTGTAATCCCTGGGCAGGATGTCATGGATTCTATAGAAAACCAAGCTGAGCAAGCCTTGGGAAACAAATCAGTAAGCAGCTCTCCTCCATGGCCTCTGCATCAGGCCTCCCTCCATACTCGGGACTTGCTGTAGTTCCTGTCTTGACTTTGATGTTGAATGGGTATATGGATATAAAACAAGTAAACCCTATCCTCCTCAATAAGCTCTTGGTCATGGTGGTTTATCACAGCAATAGTTATCTATCTATCTATCTATCTATCTATCTATCTATCTATCTATCTATCTATTTATCTTTATTTTCAAGAGATTTTCTCTGTGTAGCCTCACCTTTCCTAGAACTCACATTGTAGAACACGCAGACCTGAAAATCACAGACATCCTATTATCTCTGTATCTTGAGTTCTACCATTAAAGGTGTGCACAACCACTCCTGGATGAACAATAGTAGTCTTAACTCGACACATGGCATCCATATGTGTATGCACATGGTAGCCAGAGATAGACAATCAGGTGCCTTCAGTCCCACTTCAACAAATCAATATGTGTGTGGGGCCAGAGGAAAGTGTTAGATCCTCTGGAACTGGAATGACAGATGGTTGTTAGCTGCCATCGGGGTACTTTGTCCTTTGAACAACTGACCACCTTGTAGATTTAGGGACAGGGTCTCTTACTGAACCTGGAGTTTGCTAATTTGGTTAGATTGGCAGGTCTGAGATC